ATTTCTAACTCCATTTCGATTCCACGTCGCGGAGACCCTTAAATTCATCAAGGGAACACACTTCTATTCTTAGGAACTCAGCCCGTTTCCCGCTTATTTCAGAAAGCTGTGTTCTTCACCGTTAACAAAACATTTAATTCTCGTGGATTTATTACCTAACTCCTTCCCGATTCCACAAAGCTTTACGGGAAACCTTAATAAACTTCAGTCAGTTGGATAGAAACAGTTGAAATCAAGAGAGTGATCATATTTTTTTTAAGTTTTTAAATATGCATAATATGTAGACGGTCCTCAATGAGGAAAAGGAGACTTTTTATCTCTATACAATTTCAGTGTGCTGACTATTTATTTCACTTTAAAACCGACACAGAAAAGACGAGATAAAGGCTTTTGCTTCTGTTAAATCGTTGTATCAATGATTCATCTCTGGCATATATCATTTGATATCTATTGTTGTCCCTTTAATCTTAAACCAGCAGATTTAATTTTTTCCAAATCCCACTCTGTTTCCGTTTATTTCATTCAAACGTTGTTTCAATGTAGAAATGCTATCCAATCATGCGCTATATTCAGATGTTCTCTGACTAACACGTCCAGGTTTAAAAAATTAGCGATCCAAGGGGAACGAGAATTGATAAACAAGGACATTCAAGGTGAAAATCTATAATAGTAATAATAATAGCACTTTATTTATATAGTGCTTTTTCTATGGCTATACAATATGCCAAAGAGAGAAACAAATATTTCAAATAAACAGAAACTGCTAGAAAATGCCAACTGGCAGAAAGCAGACCGATTGGCTATTTACACAACGAAGCCGATAGGTAAAACTCGGGGTGCTCAAGGTCAAACGAGTAGCAGGGTTGAGGACTTGAACCTGGGATCACCAGATTACAAGTCCAGCGCCCTTTCCACTCGGCCATGCCGCCTCCTATGATATAACCAATGTTTTATTTCATTTTTTTCTTTACAGGGATGCGTTTGAGTCTCCCGTTCCTTGTGTGCGCTATCGTCGCCTCTTTGCATTACAGCACAGAGGCTGAGCGATTCTCCAACTCCAGATACCTTCTGGGAAGAGCTCTTCTTAGAAGAGCGCGGGAGATCAATGAAACGAGAAGCAATGGTGACGAGTTAGAGGATGAGGTGTCGGAGGAAGAAAGGGAAAGAATTCTGCAAACAGAAGCTGCGGAAGACATATTCGTTGGCTCCGGAAATCACGTGTATGAGAGCCAGGGGAAATCGGAGACTTCCGGCTCTAGGCGTGATGAAACTTCCGGCGATGAAGGCAAACAGGTCGAGGAATCGGGAAATGATGAAGATGGTCCCAATTCCGGTGACAGCGGCGAGGGTGATAAGAGCGATGATGATGAAAGTGATGACGACGACGATGAGGAGAAAAGTGAAGATGATGATGATGACGATGGTACAGAGACAAAAAAAGAACAAGAAAGTTCAGACGATGAGGTTACCAGCGGCTCAGGACTGATTGAAAATGAGAACGCTGCAAGGCGTAGCGAGGACGTTTCCGGTTCAGGCTCCGGAAGTGCGCAACAAGATGATAACTCGGACCAATCGGGGTCGGCAGGAAGTGGCGTTGAGGCGTTGACACCCGCATCAGCATCAGGAGATGAGGCTAGCGGAGTTGCAGCACAGAGCAGTGAGAACAACGTGGAGGAAACTGCCTCAAGAAAATCAGAAATTGCTACAGTTTCTGGAGAAAGTGAGGACGAAGACGATGATAGCGGAAGTGCTGAAGTCATAAAAAAAGGGATCGAGAGCTTGAGCCGACTCTTAACGCCAGTGGCTAGCGGTTATGAATTTGAGCTGTACAGCGGTAGTGCAGCAAAACATGACAAGGAGCAGGAAAGCCAAGCCGAAGGTGAAAGCGAAAAAGGAGAGAGCTCAGATGCAGAAGAAGTCCATGTCAAGCAATGTAAGAGGGTGTGTGAGGACCCCATGACATACGAGCAGTGCGCAGTTCCTCGATGCGACTATAAAATGGGAACCATCAAGGATTTGTGCATCTATTTATGTAAGCACCAGACCCCTGTGTGTAGACAAGAATGTGAGTAAGGTATACCTTAACAAACCTCATTTTGCAATGTGAATTATTCATAAGGTTTTGTCTCGGTTTCATTACGAGGCTCTAAGTGGAAGCCTGTGGAATTTGGCCTTTCTAGGCCCTAGGCCCTGAAGTAATTTGTTTGTTAAATTCGCCATTGAGGGCCTGGGGCCTGAGATGGGGTAAATCTAATGTAATGATAGTGTTATATCGCTGGCTTATAGCCTTTTCATTCTTACTGTTACGAAATTTATCTTCTAACTTTATTAATTTCCACAGACGGATCTCCTAAACTTGCATGTCAAACGTATGCCATTAAGCCGTAGCGTTAGCTACAAGATAGAACAGAATAAAACAACTTTCAAAAAATAACAACGGAATTAGCACGGAAGTGTATTTTGAGGGAGTTAAACAAGCAAGATATTGCCTTTTTATCTCCTTTTCAAACACGTCAGACAATTTTCATTAACACAAGCAAATAATTTACAGCAGAACTGCAATTTGAGTGTTCAATATAGACTGCCAAATGGAGCCTTACACTGAATAACGAAAGTTAAACTTTTGAGTAAAACACGCTTCGAAGTTTGAGGCCGCGATATCTCCGGAGAAGTTCACCATCTTGATAGGTGTAAGCACCAAAGTTTTCCTACAACTTGTTATCAACGGCTCATTTGCAGCTCACAAAATAAGTGAATTTGGTCGTCTTTTTAAATCAGACGTAAAGGCAAACGAAAAACCCTTGTTACTTAAACAAAACATAATAATGACGGTACTATTCGACAACGCTTGCTCACAAAATAATGACAGAAATAGAAAAATTATTAGTTCTTGAGGCAATGTGCTTAAAATAAAGATAAAAATTAAATATAATCGGTATCAAAACCGAGCTTTGGGTCATCTAACCCACGATCGTTCAGTTTTAAAGGGGTTGCATTCGACAACCACCTGTTAATGTTTATCGGGTGGTCTAAAATATATAAAACCGTCACCCATGGTGGCTCTGTAGTTATTGAACGACCTGGGTACAAAACTTTGAAATGATTTGTTGTTTTCGTATGCGAAATATGTAAAAGTAACGCAGTCAAAAACATTGAGGTTTTTTACACCTAGATTTCTTACTTTTAAAGACTAAGGAGTTATCGTTATAATGACTTAAAGACCCTTTAAGGGGAATACGTAAATGGCGGGAATACGTAAATGGCGGGAAAAGACAAACGGCGACAAGCGAACTAATTCTTGGTCCCACATTCCTCTTGTCATTGAAAGAACGAGTCAATCTGGTGACAAGAATGACCCAATAACGGTTAGGGTCCAGGTCTCTTCGATAAATTCCAAGACTTAATTAGAAATATAACATAAATTAGAATACACTACAAGAGGTTTTAGAAATACTCTTGGAAATAAAGTTGTTCAGATTAAGATGCAAGCTGTCATTGTGCCATTTAGGGTTCTTTATTTTCCACGAAGAAAAAATAACGGTATTCACTTTAAAAACATTTTTAAAAAATTCCCCCCCCCCATTGCACAAGTGTTTGGACGCAAGCCAACGGAAGTGAGTCGAGTTCATCAGATCGAGGCTTGCGGAAATTTTTTTCTGCAGGCGTAAAATGAATGAAATAAGCGTAAAAAGTCGAGAATTGACTTTTACGGTATGGCTTCTTGTGTCTTCTAATTAGTTCTATCCAGAAAAGCTACTTAGTTATGCGAATATAAGTAAGAACAATGCTCACGAAAGAAGAACTTGTTGCTTTACAGTTTTTCGCGTTTGAGATTTATCAGTCAGCCTCAAACTTGAAAACTAAATCAAGCCATTAATCTCAAGTCTGCAAATGGGCCATGGAAAATGGGAACATTTTTAGTAAGATCGAAGTTATAAATAGCTTTCAGGGCTGTAGCTATATTAAGAAACTGTAATAAATCTCTATGTCAAATAAAATATGTCATTCAAATATTAATCGGTGTGCATATTACTGGTTAGCTCATGATTTTTAAAACAAGCAACTAAGAGAAGGAAGAAGAAGAGATGGCAGTTTGTTTAGTCACAAGAAAGCGCTAGGTTGCTCAGCAAGATTCAAAATGTTGGCGTCCGCTGTCGGCACTTTTTAATAAATTTGAAACCGTTTTGGAATAGAATAGGTTAGGTCACACTTTGGAGTCTCAAAAAGTGGTCAGTGTCACATGGTTTCTCTGGCACACTTCTTATTCCCTTCTGAAAATGGTGACTAATCACGTTCAGCATTATCGGACGTGAGGCAGGAAAATCGGGTCTAGGGCATGGGGTCGAGGGTTACTTTTCTGGTACAGTTCCTGGAATAATTATATTGAAGCGAAAAATGGCTATCAGTTTTGAAATTTCTAAGCTTTTCAAGTTGTTTTCTGAGAGACTTAAGTTTAAAAAATTAGAGAAAGGTCAATCTAAACGAGTCTAGTGAAGAATTTTTCTTGAAAGTTTCTCAGTGTCCTAGTCCCGACCTGAAATCAAAAGCTGGCTACCTCAGAGGCTATCCACAGCTCATTTAAGGATTTGTCCCAATAGGTTCAATATTAAAGCTTCAGAAATAGTTTTCCTGACGAAAAATGTTCCGGAGATGTAAATTTATCTGTTGCGTGAAAAAAAGAATGAAATCAAATAAAAACAACAGCAACAACAACAACAAGAAAACAAACAAATAAAACTTCCACGTTTCTATGTTTAAAATTGGGTATGACGTTTAATAAATTTACATTCCTTCAAATAGCTTTCAGTGTAACATTAACAAGATTTGTGCAGAATCTATTTATTCAACATAAGAACCTCTCAATGTAACGCAAGGACCAAAAAAGATAGGTTTTCATACATCAGGAGAAACTTATCAACTTACATTAAATTCTGCTCTAGGTTAGTCTTAGTTTTATTTATCATATAGTGTCCTCTATCTTAAATCGTCCGAAATTTATGTTACACATGGGAAAATTCTTTAGAAAACTCATTACCGTTTGAAACTAGTCTCTCACTGATCACTGGTTCTGGAATGCTCCGCAGGCGATCATCTCTCAAATACTTTTCACCGTTTCCTCTTGACATTAAAGATTTTGAAACTGGATTAAAAGGTTTCACAACCAATTCCTTTGGAATTGCGTTCACTGTGAAAGTTTTCCAACGTGACCCTGTTGACTCAGCGGGCTCTTTCATCATTCCATATATGCTTCCTTGAGCTGACATGACATTCATTGTAGATACCTCAAACTCTGTATCGCGTACTCCTGTAGCTGTAGTTGATGCTTTACTATGGATGATAGTATCTGTCGTTGAAACTGGCATAACTGTAGCCGTTGATTTTATAACTGAAGGAGAAAGAGGACCATTTTGACCTAGATGGGGAGAGCAAAAATCATAAATACTCAATGTTTGATATAATTTGTCACAGTATTGCGCAAAGGTGGTGAAAACGAAATGCGCGAATTTCGTTCATTTTCGAGAAGTTACACCACGGTAAAAATGCACTATTTCTTCCAGTTCTCGTGACAGGGCGAAGTTTTTAGTTTGCTTTGTAAAGTGTTTATTCATTGACCGGTGCTCGAAAGTTCGCTCAAGAGAGTCAAAAGCATTCTTCGAGTGATATTATGATAATGTATTTAAAATCCAAACTGGATCTACAACATTGGCGAAGGACAACCACTCACTTCCAACAGTTTCAGGTGGCGAAGTTTCTCGGGAAGATACGATCCCAGCATTGAATGCCTCGTTTTTCATCGGTACCAAAGAGTAAAAAGGTTTCAAATTTTCTTCACGATGTCCCAAACTTTGAGCCCACGACACAATGGGGCTTGATGGGCTTTGCGGAAATTGTCCCGGAAATCCAAGGCCTTGAGCATTCGATAGACCCACCACTGAACCTTGTTGCATTTGTGCAAACTGATAAGCATTGTAAAATGGTGCGTACAGAGTAAAGGGCATGTGAAGTGAAGTTTGTAAAGGGACAAATGGCATTGGTGTATACAGCGTAGGATTCAAAGAGCTACTGACTGAGGAAGAAGCAGGTAGTTGATTCAGCTCTGTTTTTGTTGAGGATGGGATGTGACGCTTGTTGTCTGACTTCTTGGAGGAATGCTGTTGTCTTTTGACATGAACTAACAGATCTAAGAATTAAAGAAGATCAGGAAAAAAATTGGTAGCTTTATTATAGAAGAAGATGAAGTTAAAATTGAAGATAAGGGTTTATTTTTGTTTGCTTGTGTCACACTAGAATTTTCCTCATTCCCCCCTTCCTAAACTCTCTATACTGTTTTAATGTACCTCCCTTAAAACTCTGTTAGCAACGACTGATCCCCAATCCGCTCCGCCTGAAATCTAAATGATCCCCCAAAATCCTCCCCCCTCAAAGGCGATAAATAATGTTCTGGTCCTTTACTAAACATTTTTTCTATAGAAGCAAGATGGAATTAAAGATGAGATAATAGGGACTTACCTTGTCTTCCCTTCCGAAAATAAGGATGTTTAAATTCGCATTTTGAATACAGCGAAAACGGAGATGATGTCGCCCGTTTTCCATATTCTGTGACTTTTCGGAACCCGTACAAGTTCAATTGACGGACAAAACTCGCAAAGTGTTTTGTCTTGAAAAGTCCATTGGATTTATTGTTTAGAACCTCAGAAATGAATCTCTGAGTGTTCGGAATAACAAGGCATGTTCCTTGGGCATTCCAGTGAATTTCGTCTCGTTTAGGATTATTAACAATCCACCATAGTTTCTCTGGAAAAGCCAGTAAGGTATAATCCGATTGCCTGTCTGGTACTAAATAAGAAGAAACTCTCGCCATTGAAAAATTTTTCAGTGAAAAGAATCTTCGCTGCACGTTTCTAATCCGTTGTTTTCGTGTTTCCATGGAATTCTTAGGATTCTAACATGACGTATGAATGGCTCCGCAAAAGTAGCTGTGATTGGATAAAACTGCGCGCGTGCGTAGTGATCAATGCTGATGCGTTCGAAAAAAAAACATTTTTTTAAAATGAATGAACTAGATCAACTTTTGAATGAATCGATTTTGCTATTGATTCCGGGCTCTTCGTCTGTTGCTTTCGGAAAACTTGCCATATGCGAAAAATGATCATTTATGTTATGTACATCGAAGAAAACCGATCAGAAAAATAAAGTAAAGATAATCGAGGTATTTGAAAGTCCTATCACTTATGCACTTAAATGGCTTCCAATCTTTGAAATGTGTCGGTCAGTAGGAAAAAATCTCAGTATGACTGAAATAAATACTTTATACCATGGAAAGTACTCAAAAAATTTTTATTCACTCGTTACGACGCATCAAGAAGTCACTCACCTTTTTTTGATGGAACATGTTTTGTTCCTTCATAACAGCTTTAGATGTAGCCTTAAACCCCAAAGCACGAGTAGAATAATCACCTTCAGTTTCCCGCCAATTTCACTCTTGAGCTGTGCAAGGCTTTGTGGGTATCATCAGCTTGTGTGCGCTGCTTGCCGGGAAATCGTCGTATCCGCCATCATGCCACCGAAGAAAAAAGCAGCAAACGAACCATCGAAGAAAACCGATCAGAAAAAGAAAGAAAAGATAATCGAGGTATTTGAAAGTCTTATTATATTCTCGGATAATACAGCTCGTCTTCTGTCAACTTATATTTGTGATCTTTGTCCATTATAGGATAAAACTTTTGGCCTTAAGAACAAGAAAGGCAAGAAACAGCAGACCTTCGTAAAACATGTGACTCAACAGGTTTGCGGATTTATTTATTAATTTTCATGTTTTCCGGTTCTCTAATTGTCTAATGGTAACGCTTTATCTTTTTTTCATAAGGTGAAATATGGTGGAAATCCCAGTGCGAGGAAGGTATGTGTTACACACCCAAAGAGAAGGCACTTATAATTTAAAATTAAACACATGTACTGTACGTATAATTTTATTTTGTGCTTATCCGAGTTTTTATGGCTAGTTTCTGAAAGTCTTTACTTTGGAAAGCAATGAATACTGTATGAACAATATCACTCAGCTATGATGATATTGGTTTACATCAGTGCGACATTATTAAAAATATTGTAAACTATTCAATAAGCTCAGTGTAATTCATAATACGCAGACCTGATAGAACAGTTTTACTATCAAAAGAGAAATCAAAATTAAAAAAGTTGAAATTTTTATGCAAATTTTTCTTGATTTTTCTTGACTTTTTAACATTTAAGTTGAAGTTGCTATAATGTTACAAAGTAACAAAACAGGATTGTTTCATTTCAACTTCCTTTATTGGATCTCTTAATTAGGACCTGTGCCATGATTGGTCAAATTAGAAAGCCATATTTCACTGTACTGTACAGTTCACTAAATTCAAAAGTTTGTTTGAATGAAATCTTCCCCCTTCTGTTTGAAGCCACAGATATAGGAAATATCATACTAACCCTGATTTCTCAGTCTGTACTGTGAGTTACAGAACCTTGTATGGCTGGCATTCATTATGCTTAGGCCAGAAATCCACGTTGGCAATGCTCAGTCTGTAATTTACTGAACAGACCTTTAACTCACTTAGTTAATGGTATTTAAGCTCATGTGATTAAGTGTTAGGAAGCTTTCATGTTCACCTGCTGAGACATCCTCTCTTTGATTAATGGCCAAAAAGTGCCCAGTTTTGTCATAGTTTTCAACTTTTAGATTGGGTGGATTATTTGCATGTGAACATTGATGATTATTGATAAGGGTGATTTAGTATTAGCAACTGATTTGATAACGTAAATTGGCCACTGAAAGAGTTTCAAAGGTGAAGTTTTTACAATTAGCCCTTCATCAGAGGAAATGAAGAAGGGATAAACTCAAAACGTTAGCTTTTAAACTCTTTATGGTGGCCAAATTACATTATCAACTCAGTTAATAATACCAAATTACCCTGTTATACTCTCTCACCAATGCAGTACCACAGTTTCTTTAGAAATGTACCCCCTTTATTGATTATTAATTTATTTATTTTCTTCCCTTTTAACTTTTTATTGTGAAGCTTGCCCAAGATCAGGACAGCAAGGTACCTGTACATTTTTCTATTGCAAGTCATAAAAACAGTACATAACACTTAGACATAGCACTTTTAGGCCAAAAATTTCACATGTTTGTACCTTTTTTTGGTTAAGCATTAATAAACATAAGTTTTGCATGTGAGGGGTGTTGAATGAGTCATGGAATCTCTTGTGAGTGCTGTTTGTAAGTATAACTTAAGAATGTCATTTCAGTTGCAGCAAAAAGGACCTCATTACAAAAATCTCTTTTTTAAAAATAGTAAGAACATTCACTCAAGGGACAGTGATGACTAGAAAAAGTTTCCTTAGAATGAGAGTTCCAAATGCATTGTTTTTTGGTGCAGACTACAGTTTATGTCCCATATATGGAGATTTCTAGAAAGAGAGGCTCATCTGTCAAGGACATAGTGCAACTTTGGAAATAACTTTTTTTTAAATTGTTATTTCAGAAAAAGACTTCAGAACAGAAAAAGAAGGAACAAGATGATTTAAATCAGCTTTTCAGGCCTGTTATTGGGCAAAAAGTGTCTGCAGGTAAGTTTAGCAAGATTTAGACATCAGAAAACATACTGTTACAAAAACTGTCACAGAAGGTAGTGATCAGAATTTTTTGATTAGCTCAGATTCAGAGAATGCATAAGGATGCATAATACAGTGCTGAGAATGACCATTAAACCCATGATGATCTGTAAGTAAGGTGGCTTCTTAGATTTTATCATGGTACATCAACAGGTGCTGATCCCAAGTCAGTAGTGTGTGCATTTTACAAACAAGGCCAATGTTCCAAAGGTGACAAGTGTAAATTCTCTCATGATATCACCTTGGACAGAAAAGGGGAGAAGAGGAGTCTGTATGTCGATGCCAGAGACGTAGAGGAGGATGAGCTCAAAAATGGTGAGTAACTCAGCAGTAATCAGTTTCAAATGTGCTGGAACTGGCAACTTTGTAGCCCCCAGCCATCTGTCCTTAAACCTAAGATACTGAATGATACTTTAAATAGTTGAAATTGATATCAGCTCTCAAATGATGATTTTTATTGAAAGCAGATTAGGATATGGATTGAGTGAAAATGAAAGTGATCGTTGCAGTTGTGAACAATATTTAAGCAGCAGTGAAAATAGGGCCTGAAAAAAGTTCAGACCTGTATGAGATTTGAACCCATGACCCCTGTGCTACCAGTGCAGTGCTCTACCAACTGCGCTAATGAGCCCATTGGGAGCTGGTCTTAATGTTGGTTCCAAATTATGTTTATTCACTTATTTGTCCACAGTTTTCCACATATGATTTTTTATTCACAGTCATTGATATGGATTAAGTTGAGCAGAAGAGAGATCACTTTTGTTTAAGGATAGTTTAAACCAAGTTTGTGTTAATCCTGGGCTATGGTTAACTGTTCTTGACTGAGAGGCTCCAGGGTATTAATTTTTTTTGTTCTCAAGGAGTTTTTTGGTTTGAAATAGCTCTTATGGAAGGTTTTAACTTTGGCATGATCTTCCTTTTTTCAGATACCATGGATAAGTGGGATCAAAGCAAATTGGAGGAAGTAATTGAGAAAAAGCATGGCGAAAAGGAGAAGTCAATGCCCAAAACAGAAATTGTGAGTTAAAATTTTTATTGGTTATCAATATTACATTTGTTTAAAATATACTTGTGGCTGAAGAAGGAGCATGGCCAATGGCAGCTTGAGTTTCAAGTCCTGCTCTGACTGTAGACTGGCTGAATTTGTTTTTCTCTGCGCCTCACACACAGTTGTAAATTAATTGCTAACAGGTATGAGTCAAGTACACTGGAGTTTAAATCATGACAGTTTTCAGGACTGCCAATCTGGAATAGTTTAGGTTCTTTCTGTTATGAAGAGAGTAATTAATTGTTACCTGAATCTGTCTGCCTTCACAACAATTTTGCAAACCTGTATAGATGTGTCTTTGAAACAATGCATTTAGTATTAATAGTTACTGATTTCAGTTGATAATTTTTTTATATATCTGTAGACATTTTTATCTTTTATGTAACTTTTTGTAAACTAAATTCTGTTTGACCCTTCTGTTGTAAAGCAATATGAACACATGGTTAGTATGTATTATTATTAGTATAAGTATTACTATTATTATTATTATTATCATCATTATTATTATTATTTTAATCAAACATCCATCTGCAAGTTGTGAAAACTCATGTTTTAAGTGGTAAAATTTTCAGTGATGTTGTGGATTTTTGTAATATATTCCCATTTTTTCTCTAATTTTTTGTTCAGGTCTGTAAATATTTTCTGGAAGCTGTTGAGAAAGGACTCTATGGTTGGTTCTGGAGTTGTCCAAATGGACCCAAATGTATATATAGACATGCACTGCCACCAGGCTTTGTGTTGAAAAAGAAACAGGAAAAGGAGATAAAAGACGAAATATCATTTGAGGAGTTCATAGAAACAGAGGTGAGCTGTATTTCTTGATTTCATTGTAATTTTCAGAGAACAATCTCTGGAGTGGTATGTTCACAATCTTTTGCAGCGTTCTCCCTTTTCTAAGCAGTACTGGTAAGATAAATTTTCAAATGGACAGAGCAACACTTTTACTTATTGAATTTCAAGAATTCTAAGTGATTTTAGGCAGTAATGAGAGGTCCTGCAGGAGGTAAATTTTACCTGTTACTGTTTGTAAAGAAGAGCACTACCTGTGACATGTTTGATTTGAACATTTGAAGTCAATTTTCCATTTTTAATTGTTGTTATTGTTATTGTTTTTGGCCTTTAGAGAGCAAAACTTGGTGGAAATCTGACAAAGTTAACATTAGAAACATTCCTCGAATGGAAAAAGAGAAAGGTTGGTGATCCATGTTGAATTTTACTTAAAAGCTACAGTTATAATTTTAGTACATGTAATTACAGTGTGTGTATTAAGAATGGAAAAATCTTACTTGAATGTGACATTTCATTCCCTTTTACCAGTTAAAAGAAAAGAAAGAGAAATTTGAAAAAGAGCAAGCAAAGAAAAAGGATGACTTTAAGTCTGGTAGAATTGTTGGAAAGGTAAGATGTGCTGATAACTTTTGGACACAATTGGCAGGTGATGTAGTGAGTGTCCACCCTTGCACTCCCAAGATCTCATTTGTAATTCTCATCGCTGTCCACCATAGGATTGGTATGATGTTAGTTTGAAAAATTTTGGGAATATGATCAACTAATAATCCCCCAACTGATATTTTTCTTAATTCTTGTCCCTTGTGTGTGTCATATTGTACTGATATGTAATACTTATTGTATTGTATTGAATTACTAATCGTAATTCTCATCACTGTCTACCATACAATTCTCATGGTGCTACTTTGGAGAATTTGGAATTGGATCAACTAATAATCCCCTAACTGATATTGTTCCTCATTCTCATCACTTGTGTGCATCATATTGTACTGATATTGTAATGAGAAATTCTATCTTGGTCTGACTCATAGGAGTTAAAGGGTTCAGGAGTGATGACCTGTATTTTTGCTTCTGTAGGTGAGTGGTCGTGAAGTTTTCTTGTTCAAACCTGAGCTGGTGGAGGCTGATGCTGATGATGATGAGGCTACAGAAGATATGAGCATTTACAGACGAGCAGATGATGGGGTAAGTAGTCTTTCGTGACTAGTAAGTCATTTACATTGACAGAAGTAATGTTTGCAAAATAAATTAAACTGAATTGAAAGGGGTAAATTTTTTTAAGAAACTCTGCTGTGGTTTCCGTTGGGAGTATTACCCGTTATCCTTTACATTCTAAAATCAGTATGTATATTCTCCATATTGCTCTATATACATTTTCGAAGGTGTTGGCAAGGAGAATTTGTTTACCAATCAAAAGCTTCTTTCGTTGGTGATCATTTCCTTTATTCTCATGACCTTAACGTGTGATTCAGGGGTGATATTGTAAGGAGAAATTAGATGCTAGACACTCTAAGGGTTTCAAGGGTTAATATGGTTTTGTCAATTGAGTTGTTAGTATGAATTGGCTACCGTGAGGAGATCCTCTTTAGAATCTCTGAACTTCTCCGGTTTCTCTTTTGTCAGGACGAAATTGGTGAGGGTGCACCAGCCAGAGAGATAACGTTAGAAGAAATGAGCAGTGCCGCAAAGGAAGTCGACGGCACTGGTACCGTAGATGTGTCAAGTAGCGCTGCTGAGAGATTAAAAACCAATCAAGCCACTAGCGAAACTCTCAACGAAAATTCCGCTCAACAGGTGACTGTAATTCTTCTTTGCTCTTTCATGGATCCAAAAGTAATTGGTCAATTTCAATATAGGCTTAATATGTCTGATGCCAATTCTCAAACGTCCAAGATTTTGCTGATATATAATGTTTTCAGGGCGCTCTTTAACCTCCAGTTCACCCCTATAATTCGCGAAAGAACTTTGTTCCTTTTTGAATACGCAGCTTACCTTTGTTTTTTCTCTCTCTTTGTTTACACATTTTTGTTTTGTTTTGTCTTTTTCGAAGTGTAAAGTACTTGCTGTTCCTCACCTGCCCCCATCACAAGAGCTTCATCCCGAAAGTTGTTTTCCCCCATGCAGCGACTTGTACGAAGCTGATGATGACTTTGCTCAGGTTGTAGAAACATTAGTGACTGCATCGGAAAACAGTCCTTTTCAGGACCACCCTCCCTCCCCTTCCCCTTCAGGAACCCAGACATTGTTTGTTTGATGGAAAGTAGATTTTTTGTTTTTCATTTATTTACCCCTCAGACACCCGACACGAGTAACGCCGATGAAAACGGTCTCGACGAAGCTTGCGGCGGAGCAGACTCACCGGAAGGAGACGTGGACGCTGCCCTCGTTAATGGAGTACCTATTGAGGAGAGTTTGTTCGAGGAGGACGATATTGACGACCTAGAGCTTGAAGATCTCGAAATTGTCGATTGACGACGTCATAAAACTCTTCAAATTTCGAAATCGCTGAGAACCATCACTGCTGGATCCGGAAATCCTATAGAATCTCCTTGAAGGCATTATCTGGCAGTGATTACATAATGGTCAACAGAGCCTGGCAGAAATAAATTGTTTCAATGAAACTTAGCAATTTGGGAATAGACATCTGTAACAGAATTCAATTCTAGTACTTTTTCCCTTTGGAATGAAAAGGCCTGGGAGCTAATAGGACTTGTACCCAGGACTTCAGGTTTCAAAGATAAAGGTTTGGGAAGACTGCCATCTTGAAAAGGGGTCATCGGAATGACTGCGGCCAGCTACACTGAATCAGTTGATTTACATTCCATTACCCGGCCCCGTCTCGAAAATGCCTACTAGGACATTCTCAAATTTAATGAATCACATTTTAACTAAATGACCAACATTCTTTTACACGAACGCGTTTGAAACGCGTTCAATTGCGAGGCGACTATGATAAATACTGTTATTTTTGTAGCCGAGAGGAGAGAAAAGGAGGCCGATGAAGATAATTTCATTAACTGCGTTCCTTCAGTGATACCGAAGGGAATTTTAAACGCGTCTCCCTCTTAATGAAATTCTTGCAATAAATCATCTCTAAACAGAATTAGTGTTTTTTCTGTCTCTCTCTTAAATAGTTTGGAACAAACTCCTCATCGAATTTAGAGGTTGTTCACTGCAGTTCATCCGGATGTAATATAATAAAGGCAAACCTTGTTCAAAACACATCTTTCTTCCCATAAACATCCGACGTTTTCCTGTATTAGGACTTCAGGAGTGACTTACTAAAAGGGAGCGTTTACTTGGGGTGGAATATTTCGCAAAGTCAGCGGTAACGTCATGATAACTGTTCCTTCGCTTTCGTTGTCGCACCAGACTGGTATATGCCCGGGAAAGGAAGAATGGGTTGAAATTTTTTGTAGGTCTCATAAGCTAAAGTTGACACTGATCGCCTACTTTTTTCATCGACTTTGCTAGTGTAGGGCCCTTTTGTAAAACATTATGCTCCTCAAGGAAAGGTTTCCTGAAAAAGGGTGCGAAAGCTCTCCTCCCCCCCCCAACCCACGCTGGAGGTTTTGTGCATCACTGACAGAAACTGTTCACTAAAACAGAGCGTTTATTTTAAACTCTTATTTACAATTTAAATTATATTCACTATAATTTTTTTTCTGAAGATTTGTTATTGTTGAAGTTGTATTTGTTCATGGTAGAGGGGGCGGGATAACTTCTTTTGATATTATCAATGTCTCTTTGTCAATAAGCGTTTGGAAAATTCAGTGAAAGAGGAGATTTTGTGCCACCACCATCTCGACTTCGTACTAGGAGGGGCAAGAGAAGAGCCTTGGAACGAGATTTACGCGGATCAATATCAGTATCTGGGCAACTGCCCACCTACCCCTCCCCTAACCCAACATTAGCCTTAACTTGTTGTCAAGTGACTGTTGTTGAGTTAGGGGAGGGGTAGGTGGGCAGTTGCCCAGATACTGATATTGATCCATTTACGCTATCTTATTCGGCCTCTAGTCTCAACCGAAAAACAATAATGGTCCTATCTTTGAAGGGCGCACTTTTTCTTATCCCAAGTGTGTCCCCTGAATTTAATATCACTATCAGTAGCAACATTAACAGGTCGTCACCATGACAACTGGCATCTGCGAGTAAAGGTGGTCCTTTGTGTCTTCTGTGTTTTTATTAACATCGCTTGTGTCAGACTCGAGAGACATCAGCGCCTCTACATCATCACTGTCCTTGTTTTTACACGCTGCTCTATTCAAATGATAGGCAATCTGCCCATCCAGAACAACTTCTTTGGCGGATTGTCTACGCGCGGAAATCTTATCCTGTTCAGAATCAGAGTTTTGCGACTGGAAGGAAGTCCTTTCGATTGCATTGTTCTTCATATTAACACTTGACCTGGAGTCTGCTGTCTTTTTATCTCGGTCCTGGTCATAGCTTTTCCTATAAATCAATGGAATTGTTAAAAAATTACACGGTAAACAAGTTTGGCTTTCTCTCGATGAGTTGGAACAGACGTTGCTACTGTTACTTCTCATACTCTCGTTGCGGCTTCTGTAAGAGCTATGACGGCCCTCGTTACGAAAACTGCTCTTTGGCGATACTCCAGGCGAATGGTGCGGTGACCGAGAGGAGCTGAGACTTATTTTACTTCCGGTAACTCCTCGGGACGAGTTCGGTAACGTCTCAAGTTGATCTCGTAGCTTACCGCTTAATTTTTCTACCGCTGACTTACAAATACCAAGACGGTTTATGATTTCCAGTGCGTCCATCTGGAAGTGTTTCGTTCCTATGGCGTAGAGATAAGGGTTTGTGAAGGAGTTGATTGGGTAAACGAAGATCAAGAAAAACTGCGCCGTTTTCAAATCTATCAAAGTTGTTCCATAAACAGCTACAAGACTGACAAGTGCAATTGGAAACCAGCATGCGAAGTTTGTAATCACAAGCATCGCCATTCTTCGGGCAACGCGACTCTCCACACGGTCCACGCACGCGCCTGGCACAGATCCTCCGAGACTGCAGTACATTCTACCGTAACAAAACAGCACGAAGAAAAACGCCATTCCATTCGTTGATAAAAGAAACGTAACGTAAACTTTTGACAGAGTGTTTTTCACATCAAATGGAAGACATATTGCCACCTGTTGATAACTACTTACCCCTACCAGCGGCAGGATTGCCATTGTCAAAGAAAACGTCCACCCCACCCCTATGAGTATAATAACCTGCTTCGTATTCAAATGTTTGTTAACCTTAAGAGGATGGACGATGGTGAAGTATCTCTCCACAGTGATGATCGTCAACACAAAGACAGAGAGCTCTGTGGAGAAAATCGATACAAATCCGGCGATTTTGCAACCAGTTCCGAACTGCCATCGCATAGCGAAGTTTTGGTATTCGCCCAAGGAATACATATCGGCGCTTATGATCATCAACAAAAACACAGCCATGCAGAGGTTTGCAAAAGCCAGGTTACACATCAGGATCCTGGTGATGGAGATTTTGCGTTTACTCAGCAACAGAACAAATAGTTTGAACGAGTTCCCGAAGAGAGCGAGGACCAGCACCACCCAGGAAGAAACGCGCAACGCGTTCGTCGCCAGTAAATCACCGCACGGGTTGAACGTGTCATTTTTTTGCTCTGAAACGCAAGTAAACGGTGCATCCGTCGACCCTGTCGGGCGAGTGTTAACATCTTTGGTCCCATCGTAGCATGATTCAGTTGGAATTTCCGTGTTGTTGCGTTTTGGTCCGACGATACCACCAAAGGGATCTGTCGTGGTTGGACGTGCTGTAGTTGTCGTTCTATTAGCTGTCACATTACACGTCTTGACGGTAGGAGACGATAAAACACTCGATTTAGTGGCCATCACGTTACGCGAGTCACGTTTAGTCTTTATGAGACAGCAATGAAAGGCGTATTCCACACTTGCTGTGTCTAGGTTGTCAAAATGGACGATTGGTATTTCCCATAGCTTCCGTGCTCCTTTGATTGTGAGATATTTCAAGTACTTAAGCCCATCACCTGGCAGATATTTGATCCCAGTTTCTTGCAAATTTCTGCAAAATAATCAAAGAAACTTTTCACCGTGTTGTACAAATATTTAGTTACCCAAATTTCAAGCCTCAAGCTCACATCTCGAGACATGTATGTATTTATTCATGAAAGCGTCACGCGTTATGTTTCGCGGTGTTAGGTTAGACTTAATACGTTATAAGGAATGGTTTGGGAAACGAAATATGGTCGATTTACAACGCTAAATATTCCGAAATGTGAACATTTTACACTCCTTGTGTGTCCATTGCGGTTTCTGGTGATTTCTGCCATGAGACAGCTTAGAAATGTACAAAGTTTTAAAACATACGTGTTCAGTTCTTGAGCTTTTTGCAATGAACGCGACCCCGGCTAAGCGGGTTACCTCGCCTTGAGACGTTTACATGGCAAATTGTCACCCCGGCTGACAGGGTTACCCCAGCTGGCAGACCGGGCAACCCGCCTTGGCGGGTTACCCCACCTATCATGTAAACGTGATCAGATAAAATGAGAGATTATATGGAAAGGCGGGTTATCCCACCTAGGCAGGTTACCTCACCTACCTGGGGTCCCCCACCTCCATGTAAACAGGCCCTAAGAGGAATAAGCGCACGCTAAGCATGAACCAATTCTTTAATGTCCGTGCACAAATATCCGTGCACATTTTCGCGCCAATAGGATGTCATTGTTTACGTTTCATTTTGTTATTGCTGGTTGATTTGTTATTGTCGTTGTTTTCATTTTGCCTGTTCCAAACGGTGTCTCGTTCTTCTCACGAAGTATACCTGAGAAAACTCTCACAAGGCAAATCGTACAACCAAACATTTATAAACCAACAAGTTCAAACAGGTTGCATTCGGTTTCTTATCCATAATGCACCGATCAATTCGAAGCTTCAACATCCCCTCCCCTCCCCCCCTCAAAACATGAACTTTTGAAGAATGGTTCGTTCATATTCGCGTCCTTTGGGGCCAAAATTGTGTTCAAATGCTCCACCCAACTCCCTGGTTTGATCGTAAATGTTCCTTTTTGTAAAGGGCAAGATTAACAAACGTGATCTTCTTTTAGATCTTTTCTTTTGAGCCATCTGCTCACGAAAGTGAACTTTTTACCCTCAAACACTTTTATTTTAAAAGATAAAGAGACAGTTCGGATTTAAATTCCACACCCTGCCCCACCCAAGCAATGCTCAAATTTCACATCCTGCGGGCTGCCTAGAGAGGGGGGGGGAGAGAAAGGGGCAAAATGCAAAAGCTCCGAATTAATCGATGTATTAAGATATTTATGTATCACATCGAAACTTACAACTCTATGAGCTGTGGTCCTTTGAAAGCCTCCGGACGTATTTCTTTCAGATTTTCTCCTATGAACCTTCTGTTAACAGGGACGAGATAAGAAAATTATATTACATGTCGGGGGGGGGGGGGGGGGGGGGGGGGG